AACAAAACCGTTATTTATTTGACGTTCAACGGTAACGATTCGATGTCAATCACAATGCCGATCTCATTCCCATAATGCATCATTTTGAGTAATCTTCCGTGTGTTCGGGAGATGTTCAGCATGGACTTGGGATAGACGTAGCGTTACTGTTTAAATTCCTATACTTAAAAGTAGACGTGCGATAGACGTAGTTTTACTGTATAAATGCCCATATTTGACTTGATAGATGCAGCATGACGATTGTTGTAACTCCAATACCTTAACGCAGACTTATGCTAGCAGTAATAGATCGCTAGGTTCTGGTATATAACCAACAGTTAAAAATCTCCCCAACTGTTTATGGCTATAAATAAATATCAGCTGCAAAAACTGGACATTTAAATCACCATATTTGAAGGATTCTGTGTTTGGTTGAGTCGACATACTTAATAGTGTTATATGTTTCCGGTACCATGACGGTACCTTGCGCTACAATGAAACCGAACTGGTATAGCATCCAGCAAACAGCAAACATGTCACGTTTTGTTCCATCTTATTGTTAGATTTATGTTGCTGCTGTTGCTGTTGCTGTTTATCGGAGTTATAAGAAATGAAAACCACCATACATCGTCAGGAAGAGAATATATGGATGTCAACTTCTTTAGTATGAGGAACAGTACGTTTCGGTTTATATGCTTACTCCTTCATCGTCATTCCTATATTTTATTTGTTTAATGCAATGGTTGTCATTCAAAGTCTGGGAACATTTGCTAACCATATTGTTCTGTAAAAGACTGTCCAACTTGTTCAATGAACGTTAATCGCACATTGATCCACCGTGCCATCAAGACATTGAGATTCCGAATCGAGTCGGTTGATCATTTCTTGAAGCCGTGTCTCTGTACAAAAAAAACATGAAGAAAACAAAACAGAAACTACAGAGGTAACAGCTGTGTTTGTTTAGGATTGCACTGCTAAGAATACTTGGTCTCCGAATTCTTGGCAGTGTCACACTGCTGTACGTATGCGTGGCCAATGAGATAGCTTAGAACTGTTACTATAAAACACTCCGCCGAGCAATGTGCATTACTCATCGTTTTCTTTTGTCACGTGAAACACGCTACCTCAAGCTGTAATGGTCAAATAAGGCGACAGAGGAGGGGATTGAATGGTCACAATGGCGGAGTGTCCATAGAGAACATCTGGGAAGCCCAGTCCAGTGGAGGATATTACCTGTCGTCTTACTCCAATACAGTTACATATACGCTTCACGTATTAAGAGAAAATGTCGTAGCTTTGAAATCGTTCGTCAAAATGGGATGAAAGTGATTGTATGTCCCACTTGTGATCGATGGCGGTCCCGCATTGCTGTTTGTTTGTTGTTCAACGCCCCACTCAGCAATATTCCAGCTATATGATGGCGGTCTGTAAATAATCGAGTCTGGACCAGACAATTCAGTGATTGACATCCTGAACATCGATCCACGTAATTGGGATACGATGACATGCATCAACCAAGTCAGCGAGCTTGACAACCCGATCTCGTTAGTCGCCTCTTACGACAAGCATAGTCGCCTTTTACGGCAACCATGGGTTGCCGAAGACCTATTCTACCCCGGATTGGTCTAGGCCTAACACTACGAACTCTACGTGCAAGTGTACCAAAGTTATTAATCAACTAAGTAAACGTTACGCTCAGACTAACACTTACAAATTTAAACATACGCCAGTGGTCTACACCGCCACAACCCGCTGTGCAGAGTTGCGCCCCCTGGTCGTGTCAGGATCTCATAATCGTAGATTTGAATCCCAGTGTCACCACCATTTATTTTAACAAAGCGGTTAATATCTACGACGTGCGTCACTTAAGGCTTTCTGTCTGACTTTAAGCTGCCACATCTGGCTAGAACCGAAATACAGTTCGATACAGCGTCAAACCCAACTCACTAACTCAAGTATCGGGATATACCCCAAACCATTCCTACATCCCCCTGATGCTACATTCTACTTCACAAACTCACAGACTCCTCAACACGTGTTCTGTTCAGCATGGTTAATGGTCTGTTTATCATAGGGAAATGACCCTGAGTGACCTTAAAAAATCGTAATGCTCTTTGTAGCGCATCATGTATACATTGACGTAGAAGGTAGAGTAGGGTCAGTGTTATGAAACTATTTTTTTACCACAACGAGAATTATAAAAAATAAGCGTCATCTTTGATGTAAGAACATCTTGTGTTCAAAAAGCTAACCTATGTGACAGCATGGAGTTGTTCCACCCTCGCCGTGTGTACAGAGACGAGACGCGATGTTTGGTAACAGCTTCTCAACACGAGCCCACAAAGCCTTAAACGCTTTTCTATGTTTTCTCGGAAAGTAAACGCACACGAAATGGTTTTTATTAAATTTACAGTCACTTTAATTACACACAGATATTATTTGGACTCGGAAAGTAACAAGTTCTGCCAAGACGTCGTGAAAATATTATTGCTGTGCCTCGCGTCAATATCCACATGCTGTTTGTATTAAACTAATTTCCGTCTTGCTGAATGATAATATTTGACGAAGGCTCGCTGACAAGCAGCGGCTTGTCCGTGGGATGCACATGCATGGGCGTGGCCGTGGAGACGGAATACAAGACTATTCGACAAGCACGTAGCACAATAGTCGTAAGGTCAATAGTTTAAACCAACCATGTAGCAATGTTTCCGTTGTTTAAGAGAGTAGTGTGGGAGCGTTGTTATTCTGGTTTTCGTTCTCGTCTTTAAGTCTCGTGACATCAATGTTACGGTGTGTTTACCTGTGTAACACTAATAAACCAGTTCATAGTCAACATGACAAACTGATATTATTTCACCCGAAGTACGAGCATCAGAACCCATTATTTACTTGAATCTTTATTATCTGAAACCAACCGTAGATGAGGTTACGAGACATTTTATGGGCGCTTTCATTAGTTTAACCTCGTTACTGATGTGGCCCGCCAGTTCATCAATGTTATATTCAAAATGTTTTGTTCTTTTGTTTGTTGTTGTATATACATATATGCATGTCATCGATCCCAATTACGTGGATCGATGCTCATGATTTCAATCACTGGATTGTCTGGTTCAGACTCGATTATTTACAGACCGCCGTCTAGCTGGAATATTGCTGAGTGCGGCGTTTAACAACAATTCAACCAATCAATCAATTTAATCTAAATGTAGTGTGTTGTAGGCATTAAGAATGACTAGGATTTTGAGATTTTGGACCCCTCTCTTTTAAAATTGCTGGATCCGACCTTGAGATGGTTCAATACATTATGCAGTATAACTGCAATTCTCATTCACTGTCGTTTATGTTATTGCTAATGTCGTTGAAGGTGAGGTGAGGTGAGGTGAAATGGGGCTTAACGTCGCGTCCAAGATTATTGCACTTATATAGCGACGTGCATGCACGTGTTTGCGTGGCTGCTTGTACTAGTCCGGACTGATGCGGATTTATAGTGCTAGCTCACTGAGATACCATGCCGCAGTTTAACATAAATACCCCACTAAGACACAGTATACTGACTCCGAGCCGACCAGTCCTTGTTTTAGCCCCTTAATGCCGAGCGCCAGACAGGGTAACAACAAGTACCATCTTTTAACGTCTTTTGGTATGACGCGGCCGGGGATCGAACCCCGGACCTTCCGCTCTCCGGGCGGACGCTCTACCTCTAGACCACGGGGGCGGCTCTTATGTTATTGAATGTGTATTGTAAGATGATTAACATTCTACGAGTCACCACCAACTAATTTGTCATCTCGTCTCAATTAGTCAACAACGCTTGAAGTATACTAGTACAACACCTGTGGCAAGGTGAATTTTAAACGATCTGTCATCTACACTGGCTACGAATCAAGGGGTTACTAATCTAGGATCATGAGTTATATGTAACAGAGTAACCTACCTTTGACCGAATTTGAATCTTTGTGGTACACGGCACATATATCTCACATCAATGCAATGCAAATATGTAACCGCTGATAAAACATTTCGTTTGCGTCATCACGTTTACTGAATGAAGTTAACAATGGTTCACATGACACAAATAGGAAACACGCAGTGTATGAAATAAGTGGATCTAGACATTAAAGCAAAAGGGTAAACGGCTTTATGTGTGTTTGTTTTGTTTGTTTGTTGTTTAACGCCGCACTTGGCAATATTCCAGTTATATGACGGCGGTCTGTAATTAATCGAGTCTGGACCAGACAATCCAGTGATTGATATCAAGAACATCGATCCACGCAATTAGGATCGATGACATGCGTCAACCAAGTCAGCGAGCCTGACCACCGGATCCCGTTAGTCGCCTCTTACGACAAGCATAGTCGCCTTTTACGGCCAGCATGGGTTACTGAAGACCTATTCTACCCCGGATCTTCACGGGCCTAAACGGCTTTACAGCTGGATTATCGAGGTAGGATGTGAAAAGGGAGCCTTGTGGCATGATAAAGTGCCATTAAATAGCAGTTGTCCTATTGTCATCCTAATTGCTGCTACAGGGAAGGAAGCCATACTAATATTAACTCAAAATAGAATCATATGCATTTATTGCTGGTTTTAATTAACGATACACTTGATCCAATTTTACGAGGATGTATTGTGCAATACATTCAGTTCATCCTCGAAAGGGGCGGTCGGTTCGCTCGTCACGCCGAAGACCCGGGTTCGATTCCCGACATGGGTACAATGTGTGAAGCCCATTTCTGGTGTCCCCCGCCGTAATATTGCTGGAATATTGCTAAAAGCGGCGTAAAACCATACTCACTCACTCATCCTCGAAAACAGGAACGCCAAGGTTTGTCGAATGCCAGGAAGTCTTGCATTCGTCACCACACGCCCCTTTCCGTAACCTGCAAGAAAAGCGGCTTGTCCCGGAATAACACGAGTTGGTCACGAATGGAAGTACTGCAACGGAAACGACCGATTCTTTGGTCGCTAGGACGTCACTAGGAGGTATTATGACGTCACGCTATTGTCTGTCATTGTCTCAGCTTTGCTGCAGCAGCATCAAGACACGGATCACGCCTCTTGAGTTTTGTACCGCTACGGATAGATACTACAGTCAATAAGCTTTACAAAGGTAGGAAAATGTAATGATTCGTTTCATTTCATATTCAATAATGATAGGATGAACGGACAAGTTCTGATCAAAGAGGATGCCTAACGTTGCATTGTCGTTCCTTGTTTCGCACAGGGAACGTATCTCTATTACTGTCGTAAGTCTATGTTGAGATGCGAGGTTTAGGTTTAGTTTTTTTTCGGATTTGTGGATTAAAAGGTAATATGCATCTTTTATTTCCACTATAAAAACCAGATGTTATTAATAGAGTAATACAATAATGCATATTTTCCAGTCATTCACTGAGACCAAGATGCCGGTCGTCAGACTCCTGTCGAAGTCTGAGTGTGAGGGGTTCGATCCCGAGGTGGCGGAATGTTTTGCTCCAACAGAACCAATAGGTAGGTGTACGATCTTATAAGTTCAAAAACATATTCGAACCAAAACTTACCTATAATAGTTGATTCCGAAATCAATTCCCTTCTATAATCAGGGTTGACAAAGACCACGTGTTTCACAACCGGTCAAAGAATATTAGTTTACAACATCAACATGATTTTGTCAGACAGTGTCAGGTATAAAATAGGAATATATTTATTAATATTTTTAGATTCAAATGACAGCTATTTGTACATATTTCAGAATTCCATGATTCGGCTCCAAAGTTTGCCACAATCAAGCCAACTCCCATCCGCCCCGAGCCACCATTCCAGTGGGACTGTGTTAAGGAGGACAAACAAGCCAAGGAGCACGAGCTCCACGTGCAGCTAATGGCTGTCCTGGCCGAGGTGAACACTCTCCGCGCTGACCTCCGAGATGCTGGACTCCGTTCTCAGTCTCTGGACCTGAAGAACCTTCATCTTCAGATGCAAGTCAGACAACTCTGGGACCAGAAAGTCTCCCTCAGGAAGCAGGTGCATCGCTTGGTGAAGGAGGTGGACATGGTGAAGGGACAGCGTGGGCACGGGGGAGAGGGTGAAGGATTTGTCCACAACGACAGGAACACATTCATGTCTCTAGAAAAGGACAATGTGTCAGCCAGACACCTCAGTGACCTCGCTCTAAGTGATCTGTCCTCTACAGCTGATGTGTCGCCAACAACAAACAACTCCTCAGAACTCTGCAACGAGGGACACCATGCAGTCAAATCTTTATCTGTGTTTGGTCGAATTAGGAAATTGTTCAGAAGAAGGAAATCATAATTCTATATTCACATATAATTCAAAATTGTATATATCGAACTGATTAACTGATTAAAACTGATAAGTTAGAACTATTCTGTCATCTTGTATATTTTCACGACACGTCAAGTTTTCTTCGGGTTTTATCTGATGCAACTTACGCTACAGTTTTGGTTGTCCAGTTAAAACCAAAACTTGTGAAAGAGGTGTTGTGTATACTAGATTATGATTGGTCATCGGGTTTCAAATCATAAAAATATATCCCCAATGCAAAAAGCTGGATTTACCATCTTGAGTGAGTGAGTGAGTGAGTATGGTTTTACGCCGCTTTTAGCAATATTCCAGCAATATCACGGCGGGGGACACCAGAAATGGGCTTCACACATTGTACCCATGTCGGGAATCGAACCCGGGTCTTCGGCGTGACGAGCGAACGCTCTAACCACTAGGCTACTCACTAGTGAGTGAGTGAGTGAGTGAGTGAGTGAGTGAGTGAGTGAGGCTAAATACCACTTTCAGCAATAGTTCAGCACTATCACGACAGGGGAAAACCCGAAATTGACTTCACACATTATTCCAAGGAAATCTAACCCTGAATCGTGACACACCAAAGCCATGCTACTAGCCTACCCCACCGCCTCAGGCTGTACGGGGTTCAACAGGTTGTTAATATGGACTCATCACATGTACTTTGTGATCATCTATGTAAATAGTTGTCGATAGAAAAGCAACCTTCGTGCAGTGGATACAAACAGGTCTATTTGGATACAAACAGTTCTATTACAAAGGTCTGTTAAGCACATAGAGTTACACCTCGTCCGACCAAATCAGTGACCAAAAGTATGAAACCGATATACAGTAAACTACGGTTATAACGAACTCAAAGGGACTACTATTTTTAGTTCTTTATAACCGTAGTTCGTTATAAGCATATATACAGCATAACTACAGCAACTAGTCGGGACTAAAAAGTTAGTTCGTTATATCCGTCAGTTCGTTATAAGCGTGTTCGTTATAACCGTAGTTTACTGTATGTGCATTCGGGGCATAGATACATCAGCAGATCTGATAGACTTGAAAACGGTGTCCAGAGTCGTGCCATGATCCTCAGGTCGTGTGTTCGAATCCAAGATTCTCCCCGATTTGTACATTTAGTGAAACCTTAGTCACACTAGAGACGGAATGTTTATTCCTGGATAGTCGAAATGCATTCTAAAACTTCTGACTGCATTCTGAGTGCATTCCAAATATTCGGGCCCATTCTTGTGGCCGGCCCGAATGTTTTGCTCATGCTCAAAACATTCGAGTTTCATTCGAAGTGGAGAAATATCGAACGGCATTCGAAGTGTATTCTAACTGTACTCTGACGGCATTCTAAATATTCTTACGGCATTCCAACAGCATTCGAAATATTTTGATCGCATTCGAGGAAGAAACGAAACGACAAGCCACTACAAATCCTGCCAGAATGTCCCGAATGCACCTCTAATGCATCTCGATTGCTGCCGGAATCTATTTCAATATTAAAAGAATTCAGCTGGAATGCACTTCGAATGCCGTTCAGAATATTCGATTGCCCCTCGAATGCGGCTCGAATGCACTCGGAACGTCCCGATTGGCCATCGAATGAGTGCGGACGTAATTCAGAACACCGCCGTATCGCATAAAAACGCGGCCAGCTACCGCTGGAACGTCAGTCTGCATTGACTTTAATTGATTTGAATGGAAACTGTAATATGTTTGTAGAAACACAGTTAGAATGTTATACAAAGAGGCTGCAACAAAGGGGGCGGTATGCTACACATACAGTTTAGTAAATGATTAAGACTACATTTTAACCACGGACTCTCTGTGGTGCCTTTTTCGTCCTAATAATCTTACGTTTGGTGCCTTTATTAGGCAGAGTTGACCCCAAAACACTTATCATTCATTAAACGTACAGTTACCACTGACAGTAATGGTCAACCAATACAGCATATTCCCTAGAAAAGTTTATGTAAAATATTGGTAATCGATTATAACTGGATTGATGGGATGGAACTAGCTAGTTCTAGTCAAAGAGTGACGATTAATACCCAACACTGTTTCTGAAAGAAATATTGACATCTTGAAACTTGATGCTGGTCACAGTCGTTGCCCAGTGATTCTATTGTACTTTATTTGATAGGCTTACAATGGTTAAAGAAGAATGACACATTTACACGCCGAATATGATGTATGAGGACTTTTATTTTCTATTCATGCTTCGACATTGTCCGAGGTTATAAATAAGTCAAGAAGCTGCAAATTTGGAGTTTTTTTATATGTTTTTCAGGCTAACACAAGCTATAATATAAGAAGCTTCAAACTTCTCACACAAAATATCAAAACAACGACGTTCCTTTTATCTTGACAAAAAATAACAACAGGCACAAGGCATATTTAGCTGAATAATGATTGTAATTTACACAAAATATGTCAATGGTCCAACAAGAATGACAAAGACCTTTCCCAGCACCACATATCGTAAAACAATTTAAATTTAAATTTTAAAACATATAAAGATCTTCACTTGTTTTAATTATTGATAAAAATTGCAAACTTTCTCTTATCGCCCCTGGTATCAAATTCACAATACACTTAAATAATTGCACTTGTTTTTTTAATCAGTCTTCAGTGTATTCTTGCTGAGATGACTTTGATAGTGATATCCGACGACTATTAAAGGCAGGTAACTCTCGATGACCTGATGTATCTCGCCTACCATATATAATCGTCGCCAATCACTCGAAAGATTCCGCTCGATTCCGAGTTGACCCGAGTGAACCTAGTGTGAATACAGTTACAATGACGTAGCTACTAGATATTGTGACGTCATGCTATTGTACGTCATTGTCAATCGCTACTGCTGCAGCATCACGACACAGCTCTCGTTCATCAAGAATGTCACGTCAAACATAGAACAGAGCCATCCTCTCCTCAAATGGCGGTAAGAACTAGGACAGCTTTTGATTTGAATCAAGGAGTTTTCGACACAAAGCATATGTTTCCAGAACGGGGTCAATGATTTTATATGAGTAAGATAATATAAAGTTTCCCCAAGTCTGAAATTATTAACTGCATTTATTTCAGTTAAACTTGCGAACACTGGATGCCTTGGTTCTGCCGAAATTCGAGGAATATGACCCTGAAGTGTGGGGTTTCTTTGTTCAAGGAGAACCAAAAGGTAACAGCTGTCTCTTCTGATAATTTTCTGTTTATAAGCGAGTATTTAGCTAAAACACAAACCAGTTGAAATTAATAACTGTCTCTTTCTTCTGATTATTTTCTTTTTATTAGCGTATATAGCTAAAACACAAACCAGTTGAAAATGAATATCTGTCTCTTCTGATAATTTTCTTTTTATAAGCGAGTAGTTAGCTAAAGCACAAACCAGTTGAATATGAACATACATGTATTCTGTTGACGGTCGGTATTTATTAACAAAGCAAACTTTTATCATCGAATTCTAAGCCTACGGTGTTGGTGATTTATAGATGTTGAATTTCAAAGTTATGGCTACTCGCATTTATTTCATGGCGCATTTTAGGCTAGTGGTCGACACTTTCATTAAGTTCATTGAGTGAGTGAGTGAGTGAGTATGGTTTTTACGCCGCTTTTAGCAATATTCCAGCAATATCGCGGCGGGGGACACCAGAAATGGGCTACACACATTGTACCCATGTCGGGAATCGAACCCGGGTGACGAGCGAACGCTTTAACAACTAGGCTACCCGACCGCCCCCATTAAGTTCAATGATTTGTCGTTAATTGTCATGCTGCGATGTCGTAATGCATTCTGAAACAGTCATCATTTCCCATCAGCTGAAACTGTACAGCTACGCACTCCTTATTTCAGAGTTCCACAGCACTCCCCCGACTGGTGTTATCAAACCAACCGCAATCCGTTCAGTGCCTCCTTTTTCCTGGGACTATGACGGGTCATACATTCCGGGTGTGGCAGCATCGAAACTAAACTCGGCCTTCTGTCCCGTTACTGCAGATACCTGGCATGGTGAGTATATTCCACAGTTAGCTTTACTGCGAAGGTTAACTGTTATAAACGAATGTACGCCCTTCAAATCGTAATGTGTGCAGACAAACCGCACCCGGAATAATGATTACATTGTTTTGATATTTGTGTCGTTACATTCATCAGGTGCGGGGGAAGTGTCATCTGCAGGTACGGATGTTAAGAAACTCCTCAAATCCATGAAGATGACGGAGAGACAACTGAAGTTTCAGTTGCTCCAAAGGTGAGAACACATCACTTCCTCCACAGGCTATTGTGTGTTGTAGTTTACATGCATGTACATTCAACTGTGTAATCGTGTCACGTTTTGAGTGGTAGAAGCATTGGCAACAATATCTTCCGACACGAACACATTAAGATGACAGAGTGTTTTGAGTCATGCATGTAATTAACTGTAATTAACGCCTCTTTGAAAGGTATTACTGTTATATCACGGCATGCCAGCTTGGTGTGGCAATGCCCAAGATTGGTGCAGTTTATTGACATTTATAAAACTCTGATGAAAGATACGAGGGGCGTTCAATAAGTTGTGCAACTTCAATATAACAAGTCGCAGAATAGCTTTTGCACTTTTATTTTTCAATATAATCTGCGGATTTCTATAAAAGTGGTATTAAAAGCTTGAAGGACAAATGGAAGAGTGTATTGAGGTGAATGGAGATTATATTGAAAAATAAAAGTGCAAAAGATATTCTGCGACTTGGTTTTATATTGAAGTTGCAAAACTTATTGAACGCCCCTCGTATACTGTTCAAAGCGGTGTTGAACCAAATTCACTCACTTACTCGCAAAACAAAACACGTAAACCCTTAACCAATCTCATTAAAATCAGATCTTCTTGTTCTTGCTGTGTGTAGCGTTAGAACTAAGATCTGATTTTAAAGAGATTGACTCTTAACTGGTCTTGTCAAGGAGATATTGCACTGTATTGAATTAGTTGATTCCAAAGGGGTAACTATTTTAACTAATTAACAAGAACTTGTGAACACTAGTGCATCAACAGAAAATAGCGTAGATGAGCGAGTTTTAACAGTATTGCAGTAATAACAAGGGCGGATCAAGCATTTTTTAAATGGGGGGTAGGGGGCGGTAAATCGTCTCTCACTCGGTAATTTTACTGCCTACAACACACTACATTTGATTTTCAAAATGGGGTCCTGACCCCCTCCCCCCCCCCCCCCCCCCCCCCCCCCCCCCCCCCCCCCCCCCCCCCCCCCCCCCCCTCTTGATCCACAGCGTGTAAGCATGTAGTTTGAGGAAAGTCTAAAGTGACGCCAGGTCCCTGGCGTTTACCTTTTGGTGAAACCATTGCATCGCAAGTCTTCTTATGCCAAATCGCCTCGTTTATCTACCAGTGTACGTTTCCTTACAGGGCTCAGATGTATGAGAGAGAAGATGAGCTCAGTCAAGACAGGATGGTTCTCGTTGCTGAACTCCGAGACATGACGGAGTATGCCGAGATTTTGGAGCAGAAGAACCGAGATCTGAACACACATTTGAGACGAGTCACAGAGGAGAACAAGTCTCTCAGCTCCCACGTGGACCGCTTGGTGCGGAACATTAAGATGGTGGTGGCAGGGGAACTGCGTCAACAGAGGGGGGAGGGGGAAGGCCCCGGGGGGCTTGCTCAGAGGGTACAGGTCAATGAGGAGACTGGGATTGACCAGCAGGAGAGTTGGACAGACCTGTCTCCTTACGATAGTGACGTAAATGTTAATGAATCGACCCATGAAGATATCGATGGGCGGTTCCATTCACCGACTCGCCACGGTGTTAGTAGTGAAGTTCGGCTCATCAACGAAGATACTCCTCCTCTCGTGTCTTCAAAACGCAGGACAAAGAAGTCACAGATACCGAAATCTCTGTTTGGACGTCTCAGGGGTGCGTTCGGGAGAATTCGGGGTCAGATTTAACCTGGGAGAAGTGTATTTCAGGATGGAAATTAAAATTGTTAAAGTTATTTAATTTATCTTTTTATTGCGATCTATTAATGAACCTGGGATGAACGGAATACTTTGATGAGTGAGTGAGTATGGTTTTACGCCGCTTTTTCGGTGTGGCGAGCGAACGCTTTAACCACTGGGCTACCCCTCCGTCCCTGTGATTATGAAGTGAAATGGGAGTACAAGGACAAGTTCACAAAGTACTGCCATCTTGTAATCTGAGTAAAACTCCCCCCTTGCGGTCTACTGAACCTGGAACATAGCGGACGTTTGTTTCTTTGTTTGTTGTTTTACGCCGCACTCAGCAATATTCAAGCTTTATGTAAAATTGCTATATTCGAGTCTGGTGCAGACAATCCAGTGATGGATAATTAGCAACGATCCACGCCATCCTGACCTGACCACATATAAGACCCCCACTTCACGAGCATATGCTTGTGGAGACCCATTTTAACCCGGTATCCCTATAGGTAAATGGGGTGGCGTTAACTTGCCATCATTATCCCAGTAAACCTGCACGTGGGGAGGCTGTGCTAGGTATAAACGTACTCATCCTTTTGCATGCAGGGTACATGCGGTTTTATGCGTTCCTCGTTAGGTTTTATACCTCTCGCCTCCTGCTCGGGGTGCATGCAGAGCACATGCGGTTTTATGCGTCCCTCGTTAGGTTTTATACCTCTCGCTTCCTGCTCGGGGTGCATGCAGAGCACATGCATGCGGTTTTATGCGCTCCTCGTTAGGTTTTATACCTCTCGCCTGCTGCTCGGGGTGCATGCAGAGCACATGCATGCGGTTTTATGCGTTCCTCGTTAGGTTTTATACCTCTCGCTTCCTGCTCGGGGTGCATGCATAGCACATGCTTGCGGTTTTATGCGCTCCTCGTTAGGTTTTATACCTCTCGCCTCCTGCTCGGGGTGCATGCAGAGCACATGCATGCGGTTTTATGCGCTCCTCGTTAGGTTTTATACCTCTCGCCTCCTGCTCGGGGTGCATGCAGAGCACATGCATGCGGTTTTATGCGTCCCTCGTTAGGTTTTATACCTCTCGCCTCCTGCTCGGGGTGCATGCAGAGCACATGCATGCGGTTTTATGCGTCCCTCGTTAGGTTTTATACCTCTCGCCTCCGTCTCGTGTATAAAACCTAACGTGGAACGCATAAAACCCCTTGTACCCCTCGTGATCCTGCTACAACAAATATTCCCGCTACAACGAAGTGAATATGCAATGTGAGTTGGCTGTGTAAACACTTCTGTCTGTCTGTCTGTCTGTCTGTCTGTCTGGACAGAGTACATGTTAGATGTTGTTATTTCAATGTTATCTCTTCCATGCTGTAAAGATTCCATATTGTTTAACCAATCTCATCAAATTACTTTACCTCTGTACACACCAGAAATAAAGTAAATAATATGAAGTTTTATGCAAAAGAATAATTTTACTCAAATTTTGACCACCTTTTAAATTATACGTATTATAAACAAGCCTTTGTACTTAGTCTTACGTCATGTTGTCCAAAGTTCTGGTAAACCAAACTCTGTCCCACACTTCTTTATAATTTAAGACGATGATCAACCAATCGTGTTCTCGGACACAGGGAAAGTTGAAATGTTAAACGAATAGTTTTGCTCTGTTTGCAATACAAATCCAGAGAAAGAAACTGTACCTTACTTTGAACCACGCACGTCTAGTTTCTCATGTACAATTAGTGTTACGGAAACAGACATATCTGATGTAATTAAGAGTCTCCATGTAAACAAGGCTCGAGGGACAGACATAATTAGCCACAAATTATTATATAAACGCTAATCATGTAAACATTTGGGGAGAGGATATCTAAGTTGTTAAAACGTGTGCCCAATTCTTTTCCTTGTGAATAAAATGAAAAACATGAATATATTTTTATCCTAATGAAGTTCTATAACTAATGTTACTAGTATGTATTTGTATATATGTATATGCTCACATATACTATGTATAATTCTTATATATTTGTAGTAGTAGTAGTAGTAGTAGTAGTAGTAGTAGTAGTAGTAGTTACGCATTCTCGCTGAACATATCTATGTCTGTATGTGTGTACATATGTATAAGCATCTTTTTTTCAATTCTCTGTATCACACGTTGTTATTTATGAGACTTGACTTGACTTGATTAATGATGAAATGAGGAAACTAAGGGGCCTCTGAGCAGGTCTAGATAAACCCCTGCAAGTGTAGTGTTTGTTTTAATACAAAATATGCGACACAACGATTGAGTTTTGTCGTCTATAATTTTAGGGCGGTGGGGTAGCCTAGTAGTTAAAGCGTTCGCTCGTCACGCCGAAGACCCGGGTTCGATTTCCCACATGGGTACAATGTGTGAAGCCCATTTCTAGTGTCCCCCGCCGTGATATTGCTGGAATATTGCTAAAAGCGGCGTAACACCATATATTTACGGCCACACGTAAAACTATAGAGTGAGTGAGTATACTCACTCTATAGTTTTACGTGTGGCCGTTTTGACTTTTGTTTGGTGGTCTTTTTGACTATGGGTTTTGACTTTACACTTTTAAGGCCGTTCTGACATAGGCCATTTAGACCTGCTCCCGCTCCGACTCGATTATTTACAGTCCGCCGTCGAACACATACCTGGACCATTGCTGAATGTAGTGTAAAGCAACTCACCCAACTAACTATTTGTAACCTTAACCTATATAGAAATTGGAATCACATTCAATTTGTACCATTTATATACATTCATATTCATGTATGTATGAATCATTTCAAACTAGTTTTCCAAGAAAAAAATAAATAAGCACGAGACTCGAACATGCCACTATAAAGATAGGATCGAAAAGAATGCCGTTCGACAAACTGCTGAATAATAAACGAGAGTTACTTCCCTTGCGCTGATGACTGTCGAGCCAACAATCACATCTAAACGATAGAAGGCGTCCTTGACATGTAAATTTGAGGGTATTAAATACTTTGAAGTGTATATTACAACTTTTATCGCACATACACTCGTAAGTCAAAAACACCTGTTGGTAAGTACCGATAATTAAAAGAGGTTATCGTGTCAGTCACTGGCCCAATCGTTATCAGTAATCAGCTGGTAATCAGCTGAGTGATCATTGAAATAACAACATTCCCCATCACACGATACTGTCTGTCATTGTACGTACGTATACAATGTACTATAGGGAGCCCAGGTCTGACGGATCTGGCATTAGTTTCTCTCCGATGCCTTTGTCAGTCGCCTGCTATTTTCCAAATACTACAAATATATCCAGTAGCGCCTATAAACAGTCATTCAATTTATGGATTATAAATCAGTCATTTTATGTTTTCACGCTAATATGTTAAACAGTGAACATGTTTTGTTTCTTTGTTGTTTAACGCTGCTCTCAGCAATATTTCAGCTATATGATGTTTGTAAAGAAACAAGTCTGGACCAGACAATCCAGTGATTGACATCCACGCAATTGGGATACGATGACATGCATCAACCAAAGTCAGCGAGCCTGATCACTCGATCCCGTTAGTCGCCTCTTATGCCAAGCATTGTCATCTTTATGCCAACATGGGTTGCTGAAGACCTATTCTACCCCGGATCTTCAATGGTGCAGTGAACATGTGAAAGTTAAGAATTAGAAATCATGTCCAAAGACATTGTTGTGCTACTACCAACTCTGCACATGTCTTTTACAAAAGCCCTGTCTGATCTTGAAATGGAATGTTCAAAGCGTTGTGTATATCAAATGGTTGATGTTATTATCATGATACACGTACCAGTGTGCATAGCTGACATGTTGCAGGCCAGTTTATACATGGACATTTGTGTAGTGTTTTAGGAGATATGTTGGAGAAATAACATATATCAAGGCATCATCTGAAGTCTATTAGATGATGGGCAGTGTCTTTGGTCCCACCTCGAACAATGATAGAATGCAGTTAAATTTGCATGTCATTAATAGTATGTATACATGTAATGACCATGACATTAAATACATCAAACCACATCTGTTTATAGCATATGTAGAGTACACATCCTGTATGTGGATGTGCCTCCACCCTATACAGCGATTTCATCAACTGACACATGTACTGTTGTGAATGGTCTGCATCTTAAATCCAATGTAGATCATGCCCATGACAAGACACCATGTCACTACAATACTACAAACCCATTCAAATAGCAAAGGCACTTACTACCTGTGAATATCCATGTTAGAACTGATTTTTAGCAACCCATGCTTTTCTGAGAGGCGACCAACAGGATCGGGGGGTCAGGCTTGCTGACTTGGTTAATATATGTCACGATATCCCAATTGCGTGGATTGATTCTCATGATGGTAAGCACTGGATTGTCTGGTTCAAACTCAAATATTTAGACCGGCGTCATCTAGCTGGAATATTGCAGAGTGCGGCGTCATACAACAAACAAACTGAACACCTGTAGTGACGAGGTCTTTGTGTGTTGCAGGTGGAGCGGAAGGATCAACAACGATGATGCTGGCCAGGGTCATTGGAATCTCAACAGCGAAATATGGTAGATATCACTTGATTAAATTTTAAAACACAGATGGTGAAGCTTATGTTAGAAGTGACAATTTTTCTCAGACTCTTCTCACACTAACCCACACCACACATCGATAGGCCAACAGTTTTAGTTCACTCGTCTTTATAATGACAAAATATTGGGCAAATTTCTACTAGTCCTTATTGTACTGTAACTATTGGGCAGTTAGGCAAGGACTACAGGACGAGTGCCAATTTCTAATGCTGCTACACACAACAACTGAAGTAATCACAGAATTAAACAGAAACTTTGTCCTCTTGCTGCTGTTCTGTTTCGAACATTCACCTTCAGCTAACTCAGTGAAACAGTTGCAGTTCATTTGAGGATTGACTGTGGATTTTTTTAGGTATGAATAAAAAAAATGATGTGCAAACTGTATGAAACCTTGTAGTTTATTTTAGACTGCTGTACGGTGGTGTGTACAGAAACCAGTGAAGTCATGTTATAATGTCACGGAAAGCGTGTTGCGCCAAAGCTTAGCACTTGAACAATAACACAATCCTTCCTTTTTTCTTTAAAATGGACAACTCCAATGCATAACGAACTAATAAACAATAATAGGAAGGAGTGGAAATGTGTCAACTTTAAAGATCAAATCTCTGTGGCTGGTGGATGGTGGGGAGGTTGGGGTGGACCATGTTGCTTAGCTTAGTTTTTCCTCAGAGGGGGCTGTGACATCGCCGTGTTTTTCAGGGATGACTCAGGCGTGGTGTACATAGCAGGCTGATTTAGGTGGGGAACTGCACTTTCCTTTATCAGACTCGAATTGTCTCTTTGAGGGGAAATGTCACAGACCTCGGCACTGATGAGGTGATCAATATGGACGTGCATGTCACAACCGCCAGAATCTACTATGTAGCTGACAGGACCATGTCTTTCTATCGCTATTTCCATGGTCCATCTATCTGGACCTTTAAATCTTCTCATGGCAACATCGCCTCCGCGATCAAAAAGTTCTTAACTTCTTTGAGCCTTGAGACAGTTGTTGCTTCTCAACAAAGTTGCACTGCATATTAGGTTGGAGCATGTTGAGTTTTATGTCACCCCTTCAAAACTGGTTGTATTTGTCAGGTGTTTAATGCTAAATTTGGTATGAAATTAGATCCTCCTCTGTTTCAAATATTGTTCCACAATGATGTTAATCGACAGATGGTTGAAAATGTTATTATCATGTCAAAACTCGTTGTGAGGCAAGGCTTAGCGTATGACATTACGATGATTTCTGTTGCCGCTATTTTTGGCAAATGGAATAAATCTCCAATCATCACTATTATTTCATATTTCAGGTGTGTACTCAAATCAAACAAGAGACACACTCCCCAGTAAGGCCTAGATCATGTTTACCCTACTGTTTCATGTATGAGAACACTAGAAAGTATGTATTTGTCAGAAATTAAAATCTAGGTCTCATCATAAGTTAATCATCAAAATCTGTTCTTAGTATTAGTAGTTCAGTGTTTTGCGGTCAACGTGTCGGTTGTCAGTTTTAGGTGCTTATTATGCACTTTAATGAATCCTTAGAGTCTGTGAACTTCAAAAACTTATGGGATGTAATGTTATTAATACAAAAATCAGAAGTAAAGCAGTGAAGCATATATTTTATTACCGGATGTGGGGCGGTCGGGTAGCCTAGTGTTTGAAGCGTTCGCTTGTCACGCCGAAGACCCAGGTTCGATTCCCGACATGGGTACAATGTGTGAAGCCAATTTCTGGTGTCCCCCGCCGTGATATTGCTGGAATATTGCTAAAAGCGGCGTTAAACCGTACTCACTCACTCACTCACTATTACCGGATGTTGCATGATCAAGGTCACAGGTCATCATGCATACTGTATGTGGCAAACCAGAAATAAGGTCAAGGTAATACTTTGATTACGTTACTCAGAACAGCTTTACGAAAAGATCATGTATCTAGGAACGCTTTATGTTTTTAGATTAATAATATTTTGGAACATTATAGGTTTGTATTTTTAGGTATGTATCAGTTCGAAATTTACAGTTTAACAGTACTAAATAATCCAATCTAAAGAAAGGCATTATTAAAGGAACATTGTAAATATTTCATTATTATATGATGTGAAATGGTTATTGTTTAAATTGTTCTGGTATCCTTTATTAGTTATGTTGTTACACACAGTCCTTGTACAATTTGGTAGGTGTAACCAGTATCCTTTCAGAAGGTAGTTGAGGTCCCACATTACAGTATTGTGCAGTATAAGTACACACATGTATTAGGCATACTAACAAAGAATTATATGCTGTATGTGTGGAAAGTGAGACTCTATTATCAAAATATCAAGTAAAGGGAGATAACTCTGTAAAGCTCATGTGGACCATGTGATCTAAGGGAGATAATCCAGTTCATCCATCTCTTGTACTTGTGTACTGTATGACAATGATTTCTGTTGCCGACATTTTGGGTAAATGGAAGTGGAACACTGGGGTTTCTTGTGGACTGTCGTTTGTTCCGGAGGGGTAGACTTGAGAGGAGATCAGCATTTGATGCTCTTCAGCATTCCTGAACTGGATGTCATATGAACAGGCTGCCAAAATTAATACCCATCTTTGCAACCTTGGACCTGCAGGTGTGGGCCAGGTGTCTGTGGTCCCAATATGGCCAACAATGGCTTGTGATCTGTGGCAAGTGTAAAATGTCTACTGAACAGGTACTTGTGAAACGTTTTTACACCAAAAATGAGGGAGAGTGCCTGCTTTTCAATCTGTGCGTAGTCCTGCTGGGTCTTAGTAAGTGTTCTCAGGGCATGCACTGCAGGTTTTTCTCAACCATCTGGCAACACATGGGATACGACAGGTCCAAGGCCCATAACATGAGGCGTCACAATCTAACTTCAAGGAAAGGTCAATATCAAAGGTTGTCAAGAAATCTGCAGATGGAAAAGCTTTCTTTGCCTTCTCGAATGCATGTCGACACGAATCATCCCAAATCCATTCTACTCTATCTTCAAGGTGGTTGTTGATATGATAAAGAGTTGTCAGCATATCAGGAATGAATTTTGAGTAGTACTTTAGCATATCCAGAAATTACCTTATCTGAGTTTTGTTTGTCAGAGGTGGAGTGTCAACTTACACAATTACAAAATTAACTAGGTTCACAAATCAATACAAATTACTGCACAGCAATAACAATGGCAGTATGCAATGAGTGGTAGTTCAATATTCAATGGCAGTGTCAAATACAAAATATGATGGCAGTGGTGATATCAAAAAGTTAAGTGATAATAATATTCACCTGTTCGCAACAGTGGTCAAGATTCCGGGATAGGCCTAGGCTGGGAAAGTGATCTTCACACAAAAGCTGGTCTTGATGTAATGTCAAATGAAATGTGAGATGAGAGAGTGATGCACCCGCTCAACTTATAAAGTCTAACCAGCTTTCAGCACTTTCCACACAGTGCTTGACAAGTCCAGTGTCACAAGAGCAGCCCAGACTATTCCACTTTTCGCATAACGCTTGACATCCATCCATGCTATTCCGGAAGTTTACAGATAATTTGAGCACTTTAATACGAGAACATCCTCACCACTGCTTACATTAAATAGTACTTCATTCCTGACAAGTAATCATTGTCCAAATACAATGCAATGAATTTCTACTGAATCTAAACAGAAACAATGCAATACAGTTGCAATCATTGTTTAATAATAAAGTACACTGACAAAAAGCAATGTCAATTAGAGGAAAATGTAGTGACTGTCACAAAACAGAAAAGGGGGAGAAATGTATAACTAGATAGTTTTCATTAATGGGGCATTAGAAGGACAGTATTAAATCGAAACAAAAGCAAAATTCCTTCAACGATTCAGGCTGAAAGTATGGGTTCTGTAAACATCTCCCATATAACACCGGTACTTGCCTTAATGAAGTTAGGATTCAAATACACTAGGTGCGCAGCATTAGAAATTGATTACCACAGAAAAATGAATGGAAAGATTTGTCTTGAATCATTGGAACATCAGCTCCTTCCTGGTCTGGACAGCCTAAGCATGATAGTGATAGATAACGCAGGTTACCATAACATCCGCCTACCCAAAACTATAACTAGAACTAGAGGCAGTTTGAAAGCCACAATACAAGAATACCTTCCAACTCGCAGTGTTCATTTGAAACTGTCTAAGACAAACCTGCAACTCATGGAGAAAATCAGAGTAAGAAAAACTCCTATACAGTATAAGACAGACAGCCTTGCCGACCTTCGTGGTCATATTGTTGTACGACTGTCCAATACCGTTAACTCCATTTGATCTGATCTGACCAAACTGCAAGGATTTTGTGGCCTGACACAACACGACATTCTAACTGTTCTTGGGCCAGGATTAAAGTTCACCAGTGCTGATAATCTCATTGTGTTATATATACAGGTTTCAAAGTGGTGTCAAATGAAACTTACAAATTACCCTAACAGAGGAGGATTTTCCTCTGTTAAAATTGTATCAATGGCCAAACTTGTCAGAACCAAATTGTTCGTTTGGCGATTTTGACTTAGGCATAAAGCAATTTTAGAGAATTTCACAAGGTCTAGCAGATGAAAAGCATGTCAACTACAAGCCGAATTTATGTCAAACCAATTATTTACAGGAAAAAATAAATACATCATCTCTGCCTAGGCCAAAATTTGTGAAAATGTTTGATACACATGTACACATCAAGCAAGTGCCTTTTAAATTTTTTATTTATATTTGTTGATTAAACTGCAATGTTGATAAGACTAGGCTCATCTTGCTACATTTTGTATTTGATTTAAGGAATTGTTTAAATTTGCATTTTATTTTATGGATTTATCGAAAATATAATAGAAAGTAGCATTGTCTCTTCTAAATGAAAAATAATGTTTATTGAAAGTACCATTACTAATTCACTTAGGAAGGTTCAGATAGCTTTTTTATAATCATATAGTGTCGTGTTACTATGGATAGTTGATCCTGCCACAGTTCATCATGATGGTAGCTGTACATAAACTTAAGAACAAACCACAGTTTCTATTGATACAATGAAAAATATATGACAGACATGGACTTGATTTTGTGATTTATAGACTTTCAAAAAGGCTTAAGAAACCAAGGACTTTTTGTTAGACCTGATTCTAATTCTAGGTGTGTCCAGGTTTGTCCGAATGTCCACTACTCCTCAGGCCCCAAACCTGGATGACATCAGAGATCTGCTGAAGAAGTACCCAGGGGGCAGTGTTGACCTTGACCTTGACTCCACGTCAGGCATAGCAGTCCTCTCTCTCAACCATGTGAACAAGATGAATGCTATGTCAGGTAGGTGCTCTCAAATATTATTTCCTTGGTTAAAGTGCTAAAATGAAAGGTTGAGAGACTGAAGGTCAGAAACAAATTATGTACTGAATTTACTACGTTCTTTTAAGATAACTATTGATGAGAAAGGTGTATTTTCTTCTGAATTAAAATTTTCAAGAGTAGGGTTGAAATAAGCATAATCACAATCATAAAATATTTTTTATCAATTTCACTTTATTACTAAGTCAAAAGTCATGCAAGAATCAGAAAATCCAGGGTTTGAATCCCAGATTCATCCTGACTTTACTCTTGGTTTTACTCACATGTAATCCTGCATGTGGATGTCACCAAAATAAACCTAGAATCTGCATCAGTTAGGGCTTTCATCTTCATATTGAGCTGTACTGATGGGATATAACTGAATTACTTTTGAAAGTGGCATAAAACCTCCCTCACTCACTCACTCACTCACTTTTGATGATTCAGACACTGCCCACATCATCATAAAGTTCATTGCACATTTTGTTTTTGTTTCCATTTTCAATTTTTTTTGTGCATTGTGTTTACATGGTTTAAGTATTAGGATTTTTATATACTTTTGAAAATGGAATTAAAAACAAAACGTGCGGCAGCTTTATGATGATGCGGATGGTGCCTGAGAACCAAGACTATTATTTTTTTTAGCCTAAGCTTGTATATTTGAAGTTAATGTACAAAACACCAATCGGCATCACTCACTCAAAGCTAAAAATAAAATTTGTAGTGCCTCACTGGGGGTCACATATGGTGAATCCTACACCAACACACATACCAATAGAAATTGTACTGACCTGAACTATAAGGATTCCAAGGAAGACTGGAGCCTATCTACCCTAAACATGTCATAAAGGGTATATAAAATGGAGATTTGAGTGGCAATATGATTGAAGGCTGTAAATAGTCACCGGATGAGTGATCAGGTTGAAAGACTGACAGTTTCACTTGAGCTGGTAGTGGTGATGTGTTATTGTGCCCTGTGAGGTACACCAGACCTGCAAGATGGCGTGCCCTCCACCACATCCCCTGAACACACATGGGTATCACGTGCCTGTGTTGCTGGTGAACACACATGGTGTCACCTGGCTGATGTGTTGCTGGTGAACACACATGGTGTCACCTGGCTGATGTGTTGCTGGTGAACACACATGGTGTCACCTGGCTGATGTGTTGCTGGTGAACACACATGGTGTCACCTGGCTGATGTGTTGCTGGTGAACACACATGGGTGTCATGTGGCTGTGTTGCTTGTGAACACACATGGTGTCACCTGGGTGATGTGTTGCTGGTGAACACACATGGTGTCATGTGGCTGTGTTGCTGGTGAACACACATGGTGTCACCTGGGTGATGTGTTGCTGGTGAACACACATGGGTGTCATGTGCCTGTGTTACTTGTGAACACACATGGGTGTCATGTGCCTGTGTTGCTTGTGAACACACATGGTGTCACCTGGGTGATGTGTTGCCTGTGAACACACATGGTGTCACCTGGGTGATGTGTTGCTTGTGAACACACATGGGTGTCATGTGCCTGTGTTGCTTGTGAACACACATGGTGTCACCTGGGTGATGTGTTGCCTGTGAACACACATGGTGTCACCTGGGTGATGTGTTACTTGTGAACACACATGGGTGTCATGTGGCTGATGTGTTGCTGGTGAACACACATAGGTGTCACATGGCTGATGTGTTGCTTGTGAACACACATGGGTGTCATGTGCCTGTGTTGCTTGTGAACACACATGGTGTCACCTGGGTGATGTGTTGCTGGTGAACACACATAGGTGTCACATGGCTGATGTGTTGCTGGTGAACACACATGGATGTCACCTGTCTGATGTGTTACTGGTGAACACACATGGATGTCACCTGTCTGATGTGTTGCTGGTGAACACACATGGGTGTCGTGTGCCTGTGTTGCTGGTTAACACACATGGTGTCACCTGGGTGATGTGTTGCTGGTGAACACACATGGGTGTCGTGTGCCTGTGTTGCTGGTGAACACACATGGTGTCACCTGGGTGATGTGTTGCTGGTGAACACACATGGATGTCACCTGTCTGATGTGTTGCTGGTGAACACACATGGGTGTCATGTGCCTGTGTTGCTTGTGAACACACATGGTGTCACCTGGGTGATGTGTTGCTGGTGAACACACATGATGTCACCTGTCTGATGTGTTGCTGGTGAACACACATGGGTGTCATGTGCCTGTGTTGCTTGTGAACACACATGGTGTCACCTGGGTGATGTGTTGCTGGTGAACACACATGGATGTCACCTGTCTGATGTGTTGCTGGTGAACACACATGGTGTCACCTGTCTGATGTGTTGCTGGTGAATACACATGGTGTCACCTGACTGATGTGTTGCTAGTGAACACACATGGTGTCACCTGTCTGATGTGTTGCTAGTGAACACACATAGGTGTCACCTGACTGATGTGTTGCTGGTGAACACACATGATGTCACCTGTCTGATGTGTTGCTAGTGAACACACATGGATGTCACCTGTCTGATGTGTTGCTGGTGAACACACATGGTGTCACCTGTCTGATGTGTTGCTGGTGAACACACATGGTGTCACCAGGGTGATGTGTTGCTGGTGAACACACATGGTGTCACCTGTCTGATGTGTTGCTTGTGAACACACATGGTGTCACCAGGGTGATGTGTTGCTGGTGAACACACATGGGTGTCACATGACTGATGTGTGGCTGGTGAACACACATGGGTGTCACATGGCTGATGTGTGGCTGGTGAACACACATGGGTGTCACATGACTGATGTGTTGCTTGTGAACACACATGGGTGTCACATGACTGATGTATTGCTTGTGAACACACATGGGTGTCACATTGCTGATGTGTGGCTGGTGAACACACATAGGTGTCACATGACTGATGTGTGGCTGGTGAACACACATAGGTGTCACATGACTGATGTGTGGCTGGTGAACACACATGGGTGTCACATGACTGATGTGTGGCTGGTGAACACACATGGGTGTCACATGACTGATGTATTGCTGGTGAACACACATGGGTGTCACATGACTGATGTATTGCTGGTGAACACACATGGGTGTCACATGACTGATGTGTGGCTGGTGAACACACATGGGTGTCACATGACTGATGTGTGGCTGGTGAACACACATAGGTGTCACATGACTGATGTGTGGCTGGTGAACACACATGGGTGTCACATGACTGATGTGTGGCTGGTGAACACACATGGGTGTCACATGACTGATGTGTGGCTGGTGAACACACATGGGTGTCACATGACTGATGTGTGGCTGGTGAACACACATGGGTGTCACATGACTGATGTATTGCTGGTGAACACACATGGGTGTCTCATATGACTGATGTGTTGCTTGTGAACACACATGGGTGTCATGTGGCTGATGTGTTGCTGGTGAACACACATGGGTGTCATCTGGCTGATGTGTTGCTGGTAAACACACATGGACGTCATCTGGCTAATGTGTTGCATGATGAACACACATGGGTGTCATCTGGTTGTGTTGCTGGTAAAACCCGCATGGGTGTCATCTGGTTGTCGCTGGTGAACACACATGGTGTCATCTGGTTGTGTTGCTGGTGAACACACATGGTGTCACCTGCCTGTGTTGCTAGTGACCACACATGGTGTCACCTGTCTGATGTGTTGCTGGTGAACACACATGGTTGTCACCTGTCTGATGTGTTGCTGGTGAACACACATGGTGTCACCTGTCTGATGTGTTGCTAGTGAACACACATGGTGTCACCTGTCTGATGTGTTGCTAGTGAACACACATGGTGTCACCTGTCTGATGTGTTGCTGGTGAACACACATGGTGTCACCTGTCTGATGTGTTGCTAGTGAACACACATGGTGTCACCTGTCTGATGTGTTGCTAGTGAACACACATGGTGTCACCTGTCTGATGTGTTGCTGGTGAACACACATGGTGTCACCTGTCTGATGTGTTGCTAGTGAACACACATGGATGTCACCTGTCTGATGTGTTGCTAGTGAACACACATGGTGTCACCTGTCTGATGTGTTGCTGGTGAACACACATGGTGTCACCTGTCTGATGTGTTGCTAGTGAACACACATGGTGTCACCTGTCTGATGTGTTGCTAGTGAACACACATGGTGTCACCTGTCTGATGTGTTGCTAGTGAATACACATGGTGTCACCTGTCTGATGTGTTGCTAGTGAACACACATGGATGTCACCTGTCTGATGTGTTACTGGTGAACACACATGGATGTCACCTGACTGATGTGTTACTGGTGAACACACATGGATGTCACCTGACTGATGTGTTACTGGTGAACACACATGGATGTCACCTGTCTGATGTGTTACTGGTGAACACACATGGATGTCACCTGACTGATGTGTTACTGGTGAACACACATGGATGTCACCTGACTGATGTGTTACTGGTGAACACACATGGATGTCACCTGACTGATGTGTTACTGGTGAACACACATGGTGTCACCTGTCTGATGTGTTACTGGTGAACACACATGGATGTCACCTGACTGATGTGTTACTGGTGAACACACATGGATGTCACCTGACTGATGTGTTGCTAGTGAACACACATGGTGTCACCTGACTGATGTGTTACTGGTGAACACACATGGTTGTCACCTGTCTGATGTGTTGCTGGTGAACACACATGGATGTCACCTGTCTGATGTGTTGCTAGTGAACACACATGGTGTCACCTGACTGATGTGTTACTGGTGAACACACATGGTTGTCACCTGTCTGATGTGTTACTGGTGAACACACATGGGTGACATCTTGGTCCCAGCCCCAACCTGTCCTCCTGCATCATTTTCAGTAGATTTCACTCTGTACATATAGGTTTAAGGTTTTTTAACAGACTGGAGACATTATTTTTTATGGAGACTGTGGAAATCAAGTCACAATTTCATTGATATGATGAAACCCTAAATCCACACTGGATCATACTTAAGTATCATATGATTTGTTGTTTCATAGACACTATACCTTATTTATCAACCAAACTGTGATATCTTAAAATTTAAGTTACTTTTCTGTTGTTAAATTTCCTATTGTGCAAAGTGCCTTGGTTGTGTTTTATGTCAATGTTATCTGTGCTGACAGATATACAGAATTGTTTTTTGGTCCCGGCCATTACTGTATATATGTTGTATATTACTACGGTAATAACAAACTAGGTTGTTTTACTGCATTGTGATATTTGTTACAACAAAACCTTTAAACATGTTAAACTTATTGTGGCTGCCAATAGTTCAGTGGTGTTTGTGATACTTTTGGCCCTCTACATAGCCAGTTATGCATGTACCATTGTCTGCCTGCACATGTGAGAATGTCTCTGGTTAGTGGAGATGTCTCTTCATTCTGCTTATCCTTCATTGCCCTTGTTAACCTTTGTGATCTTATATAGAATTCCCAGAGAATTTCAAGTGAGCTACTTCTTGATGTTATTGCATTTTTGTATTGCAGGTCAGATGATGGTAGAATTGACTGATAGAGTTACTGAACTTGAGTCATGGTCAGAAGGTAAAGCTGTAATCTTCACAGGAGCTGGCAACACATTCTGTTCTGGAGGAGACCTTTCCACTGTGAGAGGGATTTTTGATCCTGAAAATGGTAACCAAATGTGCTACTACATGCAGAACGCAACAACCCGTTTCTGGAACTTGCCTTTGTTGACCTTTGCCCTTATTAAAGGGAGAGCACTTGGTGGTGGTGCAGAATTGGCTACAGCATGTGACTTTCGACTGATGTCTTCATCAGCCAAACTGGGCTTTGTCCAAGCCAAAATGGGAGTGACTACTGGATGGGGAGGGGGTACTAGGCTTGTGAAGCTGCTTGGCAGAACCAAATCTCTTAGTTTACTGTGTAGTGGGCAAGTGCTAGATGCAAAGACAGCCCAAGAAATAGGCCTTGTGGACCATGTGTTGGAAGATGTGGAGTCTGAACTGACTGATGTCAAGAGACTGATAGCTAGCCAATATTGCAGTCCCGATAGAAGCATTGTTAGAGCGATGAAAAGTGTTGCTACTGCTGCAAGTGATAATAATGTTTGTGAAGCTTTGGAGATTGAAAGGAATATTTTCCAAACTAAATGGGGAGGCCCATTACATGTTGCTGCTATAAACAACAATGTTAAACACAAATAGTTGAATATTAGCAAGAATGTTTTTGGTGTGAGAGAGAATAGTGTGAGTGGAAAATATTAAATAAATTATCATGCATTGTTTCAGTGTTTGTCTTCTCTAAATTAAATGCTGAGAAAATAAAAGACTTTGCTTGGAAAATACATAAACACAACTCCAGCCCGAGTGAACAAGTTACAGCTCTGGGACAGCCATCAGTGAATCAAGTTGGACCAGATAAACCTGTGGGAATAGTGTGAGCATCATTCTGTGCAGTTGTGTACAATGACAGGTAGCAGCTCTGTGGTTCGTCTTCCTCCATTATCCAGTGACCTGGGTTAGAATAGGTATCCAGTACTATTGATTTTCAGAAGAGGCTACGAAATGGGTTGGTATGCCCAGTCCAGATTTACAGATCAATGTGTTGGTTTGTCGTTTAACACCACACTCTGCAATATTCCACCAATATGATGGCAGTCGGTAAATAATCAAGTCTTGACCAGAGAATCCAGTGACTGACAGGAGCATTCATCTACGCAATTGCGATATGATGACATGCATCAACCAAGTTAAGTGAGCCTGACCACCCGATCCCACTAGTCCGATCTTGTGACAAGCATGGCTGAAGTTGAAGACATATTCTCGACCCGTATCCTCACGGGTATTTGATCTATGTGTACAGATAGAACATTGCTGACTGTAACAGCAACAAACAACAGGTACGACCTGGGTAACAACCACTTAGAACAGTATTTCAGTAATATCATGGCCTGTCATCTTCTTGTAAAAGGAAAGTCCAAAGTGATGCAAATTAGGGCTGACTAAAAAGATTGATAACTAGAATTATCGTTGATGTGAAGAAATATTTACTATGATCGATATGAAATTGTGCCACTGATATCTTACATAATGTATTGTGATGAAATAAAGTTTTAATTTATCGAAGCAGACTTGTTATGTCCATTGCCAAAGATGGCAAGCAACTGATTTTGTTATATCATAAATGTTGACAAAGTAATCCATGCATATATGTGTCACCACTCAACAAAGATATGGATTTGCTCCCTTAAGCATATTTGCTCAAAATTACTTCTCCAATATATTTATTGTTAAGGCTACAAAAATAAATCTTGGTTCTCAGGCCAGCATCATCATAACACTGCACGTTTTCCATTTTATAAAACAAACAAAAAATCCTTAAATATACCAAGTCCAACAGTAGTCAAATACTGGATTCCGGTATTTTACTCATAAAGGAATACATTTATGTAGGGAGGCCCTTTCCCAGGTTGATTGTACACAATTGTTTATTTGGTAACATTAGTTCCCCCCCCCGCCCCCCCAAAAAAAAAACACACTTCCCACCCACACAATAGTTTCAAAAACATTGCCTGAGAACCAATTCTTTTATTTTTTTTATGTCTAATTGGTCGATATTTAGTTAACGATTATCAATCTCTAAGATCGATATCGATAGCCAGCCCCAACATGCCTAATGCAAATTTATAGATTTGCAAATTTGACAAAACCCACACACATGGGTAAGGAAATTACAATTGGGGTAGACCTAGGATAGATCAGGGAATCGCTCCAACCAAGGCACCAACACAGACTTTGTCCGGTCTAAGCCCCTGCAGCGACCAGTACCCTAAGGAACTGCACCAACATGGAATTTGGATGTCAAATAAACAAAGGAGATCCATATGTTACGACAACACTGTCAGGACATATTTATTAAGACACTCTATAGTTTGTAAATGTACCAACATTAGTTGAAGAGCTGGGATAATGAATACCCTTTACACCAAATACAGATTCTCGACAAGACTCTGATAAGGATTTTGGGTCAATTTGGATCAAATAACAAAACTTCAATAGAATAAATGTACAAAAACAAGTCACTGTTTCATACCCATTAAGTGACCTATAGATCAAGCATGGTAGTAGAATCTGTGCTAGGTAGTGTCGCAAGGAACGACTAAAACAAAAAATATTTTTTTCCGGTACAACAAGCGAAGTTCATGCTTTTAGGTTCATACTCTACGGATAACGCTTGATTACTTCACATCGACAGAGCGCCACAAAGGTGTCCTTATGTATAAAACCTATTTCCTTTCTGCAGTGAGCTTTGCCATACCCTGGGGGATGCTAAAGCAGAACGAAAGTACACATTTTTTTTAAAAACAAGTGTTCTCCATATGCAGGATTGGATATACATGTATTCGAGGGACTATGATATATCCTAGATGGTACAGTATGTAACATGTATTACGTTATTCTAGGTGACATCAAAGCATGTTATTACTTGCAATTTGAAAGGTTTCTGTGAGGTACTTGTGCAAGTATCCGGCTAGGAGTGTAATTACCACTGCTTCACTTTCTCATCTTTCACACATTCAGCTTCCTCGAAAAAGCCTTTCCTCTTCTCTTCCTCTCCATGCATTGGGAAACGTTCAATATTAATATTATCAATATATATAATCCATCTTCATAGCAAAAATGCCCCACTGCTTGCCTTCTTCCGAGAAGACGAAGCACTTTGCATAACGCTCGAACTGGGAGCAGTTGAAAGCCAAGATACACGTATGAAAAACTAAAACACTTTCCAGTTAAACACCAAATAGTTTCCTCTAGCACAATGAGAATAATAATTAATATGTAATGATTATTGAAAAAAAAATTGGCAAATTTCTATGGAAAACAAAAGTTCAACAGTCGAGGAAATTGGCAGCCATGAGTAGCTCAAGTGCTATTTCCGGTGCAATGGGGAACTCGGGGATCTCTGTCGAGCTGTTGGTGTACCGGACTTTGTAGGTGAAGTACATACACACTTTCTGTAGGACATGTGACCTGAAAGCAAAGAAACAAGTCAATCAACACCTCATCTTCAGTTTATTGTAACATCAATTGAGTTTTGTCAGACCAAGTTTGAATTAACTTGACGTTTCTCAATGTATGCTTAAACCTGAGTTCAAGATTAAAGAGTCTAAACGATCAGAAGCAACACTTTTTTGTGCATTCCTGCAAGGGAATTCCCAGGGGCAGTGTTCCTGTTTACCGGTAATTACCAGTCTTTCACCGGTACAATTAGACTTGGACTAGTAATTCATGTGACTGCCAGTCCCTGTGGACCGGCAAATAAAATACCTTAGAAAGCTTTGTGGTTAAACAAAACATCGGCGATATTCATATTCATATTTCGAACGAAGTCAGCTTGTCTCTTACCATCTGGGTTTCCCCATGTTTATAAGGAAATAACATTTCGCTTTGCTTCAAGGTTAACAATATATTTGTGGTGAAATATTAAAAAAGAAGAAGAGAAAACTGTGACTGAACTTGCGTGAATGATGTGTAGGTCTAACTATGCCACGTCGGAGATGATGTCATTGCATTTAACATGATGTTGAAAGAACTAATACCAGGTAATTTTCATACTTTTTTTTATTTGTTGAAAGTTTGAACTGACAAAAATTAGGGGGGGACTTGTAATTTTTAATGATGACAGTCCACCAGGACTGGCAGTTTCAAAAGCAAGCGGGAACACTGCAGGGGTTTTCCCCCCTTATATATGCTTATGAACGTCAGTTTCGCTTCCATGTGAACATAACCAGCAACACAACTACAATACTATATCATATTTAGAGCTATGATTCATATACTAATGTCAATATTCCCGATTGTCCCTTCTACAGCATCATGTCAAAATTGCTGGACAAAACTGTGAAGCAAGGGAGGTAACACAGCTCAACCTTTGAATGGGTAAGCCTGGAGAAATCAGGGACAGGGTCACCCAGTGTATGGTTGTATGGAGTGGCTGATAGTGTAAGCAGCAATCAATGTGCTTGGTTATACACTGCTTGAATTCTTTATAATATTACTATATATTTGAGCCACAAATCTGGTTTATTCGTTTCAGTTTCTTTTATTCTAAGATTTTTCATTTCTTTAATTGTTCATGCTTGTCATTCATATTAAACATGACCATTTTGCGATGTCATTACAGCCAGTGAGCTGTACGTAGTGATTGCAGACACAGGGAAAGTCAATACTTACGGTATTTCTCTACAATTAATCTCATTATTACTCCCTTTTTCGTGTAGATACCACAGGACTCAGAAACGACAGGATGTATTGTTAATTGTTTTGAGATACTGAAATCTGATATGCAGGTTCAAGTGCTCACTCATCCCAAGAATTTATAGGGATTAGAAAGTTCACCTGATAAGACATTCAATGGAGGTATCCTACGACCTCAACATGCTTAATGCCGAGAAGTGATAGTAGACACAAGGAAAGTCAATACTTACGGTATTTCTCTAAAATTAATCTCATTCGTCTCATTTTCTGAAAACTGACCTGAAAGAAAATGAAATCATTATTAGCAGAGTTATAAAACAGAAGAGTGATATAAATCTAATAAACAAGAAACAAAACATGATTTACAAGTAAAGTGCTTTTAATAATGAAGCCAGGGAAAAACCACCATGTCATGTGTCCTCACATTTGCGTCCTACTGAGTATCTTGGTGTGGAAGAATTTCCCATTACACTAACAATGTTGACAATGCAGGGGTAGATATCTTTAGTCATATCCAAAGAGTCTGTAGCTCAGTTCACCTCGTGGCTTATGCAAAACTAGATTTTGGGGAGAAAGCAACATGTCCCTCCAGTGGCCGTGTCTATCCTCGTTTTGTGTTTCAAATTTTCAAGTCAGACACTAAATATCTACAACATCCATAAATTTCAGCAGATGCAGTGACGTTGAACATTGTAAAACCATGGCTGACACAATCAATCTGAACAAAAGTTCTGAAATATTATTTTGGACAATAAAATTAAAGGCTCCATAGTCCATAGATATTATTGCCGAGTGCCGTAATCTCTTCCCATGTGACTGTGGAAACTATTTGTACATGGCATATGTTATGTTTGAACTTAAATCTAACAGATAAGCAACTACATTAAAATAACATATTGACACTGATATGATACCTATCTCCATGGAGATCTGAGGACACCTCAATAGAAGATCTTAAACAATTCAGCTTAATTTTTGTAATACATTGATTCAGATATTTTGATTTTAACAAGTGAAATCCCACAGAGAACATAAATATTCCTTTAGTGGTACTCCCTTTTGGTGTAGATACCACAGGACTCAGAAACGACAGGATGTATGAAATATCCACAACAATATAAAGGTGTGGCAATAATTTCTAATCCTGATACTTGTCTTAATTGTTTTTGAGATACAGAAATCTGATATGCAGGTTCAAATGCTGCACTCACTCGTCCCAAGAATTTAGAGGGATTAGAAAGTTCACCTGATAAGACAATCAATGGAGGTGTCCTCCGATCTCAACATGCTTAACACAGAGAAGTATCATATTGGGGTAAAAAAAATTAGGTCATTGTCATAACACAAAGGTTATAAAATAATTATTAAAGGGGTCCCTAATTTTAAACAGTTCAGCAGTAAACCTTAGGCTCTCAGGACCCCCATTATTTTTCCAACGATGAAATGCCAGGGTGTGAAGAGGAGCAAAGAAGATTTGGGGTTTCAAATCCCCTTAATAGCATTGCTTAACCATGTATTTACAATATGAATTCTGCTTAATTAATACAAAGAATATCCTTACAATTAGCATATTAAGAAACAGTATAACAAAACTGACCCATGGTCAAATCATGTGTAACTTACCAGGTCCGCTTAACATAGCCTTGATCGTTCCGGATGTGAGGGCGTGATCCCTCTTGACGATGAATTCATGCCCATCCGATGAGATTAACTTGACATACATGGCATCGGGCCCCTCGCATCCCCCATACACCTTCTCATCATCCCCCTTGTCTTCCTTTGTGTCAGACATGGCTGTCAGCTACTGGGGGAGGGGACGACGACGCCCACCTACAGAATCCTAGAACAGATATATGTGAATTAAAATCATATGATCATAGCAGGCACACATCACTTCAGCTGTCTGTTTGAGCGTGTGTGTATTGATAAACATCGCACTCAGCAATATTCCAGCTTTATGGCGACAGCCTGTAAATAATCTTGAGTTTGGACCAGACAACCCAGTGACTGATATTTTGAGCAACGATCAACACCACCAGGG